AACGCCTTTGCCTTTTGTGCGACATGTACAATATATACGAGTATGTATGTGTGTATGCCATTGAATATTTATACATTTTCAAGGAGCTTTAATCTCCGACTTCATTAGTCACGGCCCCAAATGGCAGCAAGGGATGCTGCCTAATTGCGTTGCCATTTGAGAGACGCATATTTCACCATGTTTTATCATTGCCACTTGGCCGAAAGAGTCCTCCTCCGACAGGCCAACAATTAAGCGTATAAATAAAACGAAAGTGTCCCACTCGACTTCAAAACTTCCACTTTCAGCGTGGGCTACTTTAAATGGAAATTGCCACCTTGCCACCGAATCCGTTGCTCACATTCCGTTGTTAATTAGCTTCTAGGGCCAGTCCGCCAGTCCACCAGGCCACCGTTCGCCTGAGCGATTACATCTAATCCCATCACACGGCTGGCACCCGGCTTGACCCTGCTCGACAGCAACAGCAACATCAACAGGGACAGCGACAGTGATGCGTGTAAGCTAATTTTATGCAAGAGTCGTCCCTCTACTGACATCTTCCCAGCCTCATCATCATTGCCCTGCAGCGTGGGATCGAGTTGTCAGCTATCTCCTGGCCTTCGTCTTGAAATTCTCTTGTCTGCTTCCTGAAGTTTCCTGGATTATCCTCTAGTACTCAAAGTTTAACAAGCAAAGTTTTTGCTACGAAACGAAAAGTGATTACAAACAACACACAAACAATTTAATGTCGTTGAATTAGTTTTAATGATGTCAACTTATCATCACACTCTCTCGCTCCCTGGGGTCTCATCCACCTCTTTCTCGCACTTTCATCCCAACCCCTCTCCCCCTGTTTGACTGTTTGATTGCATAATTTCCACATACCATGTATGGAGTATGGAGAAATGCACTTGACATGTCAAAGCCGCAACATTTCAAAATAGTTTTCAAGCTAAAGGTTACCCCATTGAAGCAGTATTCCACGCCATATCCCCACCCCTTGCGTAGCTGCCATGAGGACATGCTAACTATTTGTTTGCTAATACACACTAAACACCGCATGAGTATTTGGTATTTTCATGGTTTACGCCCCGGCACAGGCACAGGCACAGATACAATTGAATGGATGGTTCTGTATGACTTTGGCTGCAACATTCGCCCACACACAACCACCACATAGTGGGACAGTTGGGCAGAGTGACCGAGGGGGAGGACAGAAGGACATATTGGGACAGAGGGAAATGCAGGACAGAACAATTGGAATCGAAAACAAACATGCAGCTCGTAGAGAGAGACAAGAGAGAGAGGCTCATGCATACTAATAGCCAGTATAGTTTTTGGCCAGGCTAACAGAGCGGGGGCTAAGAGCCGATTGCAGGCTGGCAGCCAACTATTGCCATGCCACATCAAAGTTCGGTTCTCATTTGTTTGTTTGCCGCTGCGAGATGGGGAAAATTGAAAAGGCAAAAGTGGAAAAGTGGAAAAAACTGACAAAACTGGGCACTAGACAAATAATATATGTGCCTCAAACAATGACTGAAGGCGATGGCATGGCCGTGTTTGGCATCGGAGGCATTTATCTATCGGCCGCCACACGGCAAACTTTCTCAAAATGTATACCATTCATATGTATGCGGTGAACTATGATTTATGGCGTGCTGAAATATATACCCCACAGTATGCTCAGCGAAGCAAGGCCGCACGGCGCTCGCTGACTTTCAATTTATGTGCATTTGAAAATTTGCATTCGTCTTTGCCTTTAAAGTTTACCCGCAAAAACTTTACCCTCGCTGGAAAGTCGCAAGTTTCCCGGACTTGCAACTGTCAGGCGGAGGCAGTGCCACTGCCACTGCCACTGCCGCTGTTAAGCTTGTATGTGCCTCAGCCGATGCGATACCCGATGAGACGCTGATTAAATTTGCAACATTTTTGTTCTCTGCCGTCCCGCCTGCTTGCCGTGGCAGGAACTGTTTGAATTCTTCACACCGCAACCCATTTGCGGCCAATTCATGTGCAATTAATGTGATTGGACTTATATATATGAAGCTCTGTATTTGGTAAACGTGTTTGCGGCGCAGAGGGCATTTAATTAATAATATTCCTGCCACTTAAGCGATGTGTGCAACACTCAAAATTGCGCTATCAATGCGTAACGAGTGCATTAAATAGCCTTTTAAATATTAATATTCAAAAATAGTTGGCGTTTAAAGTGCTTTGCAAATAGTTTTGTATATATTAGTCTTGTGGCCTAATTTCTTCATCGATTATTGAAATATCCAAACACTTTACCAATTATAGTAAAAACTTCCTGTTTAAGCGAACAATTTATAATGTGCATCATATTTGGAATCAATCAAGGAATATAATGAAATGAAGGCACCAACTAAACACTCATTTTTCTGTAATGGAATGAAACGTGTACTGATCCAAAGGAAAGCAACAAAAAGCACAACAAACTAGACTCCTTGAAGTCGTAAGGACAGTTTGTTTTGTTGGATCCACCACATATACATATGTCTGCCTCCTCATCACTTTACATGTTTATGTACTAGGACTACATTCGTATAAATATATATTGGTCGTGTCCTGTATTTGTACATATGTACGTACATGTGATGACGCGTGTGTGTGTGCCAAGTATAGGAACCGCAAAAATACAAGTATGTCATAATATTTGCTTTTTACTCAACCGCCACCGCCGGCATTGAATAGATTTCGTCCCCGTTGTAGTTGTTATGGCTGAGCGAAGCGATTCATATTATTATACGAGTGTGCGAGTGCTGTGCTGTGCGCCTTGCCTCGCCTCGCCACCCGTTTTGCTGTTTACAAGTCACGTGTTTAACATAAAATTTAAATAAAAATCGCATACAATATGTAAACAGTTATATGTGCTTCCAGTGGCTGCTCCTTCAGTGGAATGGTGGCTGCTCTTTCCATTCGTAGCGATTGTCGACGTCTGGCTGTTGTAATTTCCGTCTCTTAACACAATTTACCAAAATTTGGCCACTAAATCTCCCCTCCATTCTCCGACATTCTATTACCATTTACTAACTAAATCAGGCAGAATTGTATGCGGACATATACATAACATATACAAATTTTATGCAAATCGCAGACTTTGTCCGGTTCCGTCTCAAGTGCAGGATAATATCGTGAAACTTCTACGTTTTACTGGAACTTCTCGGCCAGATTCATTTGTCGCACTATTGTGATAATGCTGAAAGCAAATTTGGCCACCTATGATGGTCAGAAGATGGTCGCCAACCACGAGTAGGAGTATCAGCTATAGAGATCTGTTCAAATGAGAAAGCGACCATAACTTACGCTTATGTTGCTGCTCATGGAAATGGGAAATATGCCCCCGGCTATAAAGATAATCGGCTGCTGGGCATTGTGTATAAAGTGGACCAGGGTGGCCTTGTACCGCGGCTCGGCATCCACCCAATTGGACTGGAAAATGGTGTTGGCCAAATCGTCGCCGTCGTCGATTAGAAGATTGCATGTGTAGCAGAAGGGAAATGTCTGCAGCAGGATGGTGATGACAAACAGAAACGAGGCCACGCCCTTCCAAAAGTTGGAGAAGAAGAACACATTGATCAGAGTGAGTCCCAGCACGGATCCAATTAGCGCGAACTGCACAAAAATTGTGCGGGATATCATGGGACGGATCATGTCGCAGCATCTAAGGGAAGAGGGAACCGATCTTAGACAATCCATAGTCCTCTATATGGCTCTTACCTCAGTATTATCTTGTGATCAATCACACAGTTGACCAGATCCTGATAGTTTTCCGCTTCGCTTTTATCCGGATCCATGCGCAGACTCCTCACATGATCCTTCAGCACATCCATGTGGGCCCGAAAGATGATGGTGAACATGAGAGGATACGTGTCGGACAGTTGGTCCTGCAGCACGGCAAAGGACATGGTGATGTACTCGAAGATGGACTGTAACCACAGGCTGCCAAGGCCGTCGCGCCAGTCGACGAACGGATTGTACACCGACCAGGGCGGACGACCACTTAGCGCATATGAGAGGAACGTGGATCCCGCATAGCCGCAGTAAATAAAACTGTAGATGAGAAAGGCGTAGTTGCAGCGGGCCACCATATTGTGGATCTTCTGGCGATCGCTTTCGGTCTGCAACCGCCCGTCCAACGTGTCCAGCATCTGCTCCGTCTTCCGCAGCCGCCAGAGGAACAAATACGTGATCGTTGACTTCACCGATGCCCCGTACACATTGATGCACACCTGCAGCGACGTGAGGAACTCTCCGGGCGTAAAGTTCTTGAACTCCTTCACATAGCTGATGATAAAGCCCACCGGCAAGTAGAAAACCCCAAAGGCGAACGGCACGCAGGTCCAGAAGAGGTAGACATACCGCAGAACTCCCTCCTTGGGCGGTATCCAACCGATTAGCCACATGGCCCTATACAAATAAATGTTCCCCTCGCGGGACTTGACCGCCTCAGTCAGCGGAGCCGGATTTATCAGCTCAAACAACACCATTTTTTTGACTTAACCAGCCAGTGTTCAGGGACTGTTGTCGCATGTAGGTCCCAGTACCTGTCTATTTTATAGCCGTGATAATTGGACAGGTGCTCGCGTTTCACTCTGCCAGCCACGCCCAGGCTCAGGACACCGTGCTGTGGCCTGTAATTAGACTAAACAATCGTCCATGTAAAGTGCCAACAATGATTTATTATTAACGTGCAAGCAAAACTTCCACCCAACGGCCAATTAGCCAGAATTGGTTAATAAATTGGTGATAAAATATTCGGATTGCTGTTGAATCCTTGATGGCAGCAACGCCTCATCTAATGATTACAACGTGGGAATTGACACATTTATAAACACTTTAGGAGATATCCATTCGTCTATGAATTATCTGATTATGATTATTATTATGTGCACACCCGCTTCAAGTGCTCACACACTCGAACAAGCACGGTTCAACTGTAATCACTTGTATTTTATAGTGAAAATATTGAAACGTACACAAAACAAGAGTTTTTGGGCGCCAACATTAAGCTTCCTTTCGAAACTTATCTGCCAGATTCATTTGATTAACAATAGTGATGATACTAAAGGCGAACTTGGCCACCGTGATGTTGCTCTGCACGGATATGGGAAAGATGGCCCCAGCCCAGAACTGTATAGGCTGCTGCACCCTGTGCAGAAAGTAAATTATCGCTGACCTGTAGCGCCGTTCCGCGTCCATCCAGTTTGAGTGAAAAATGCCACTGGCGAGGGATTCGCAGTCCTCAATCAGGAGTTCGCAGGTCATGCAGAGCGGAAAGGATTCCGCACAAATGGCAGCGATAAATATGATGTTCGACAGGGTCATCCAGAAGCTGGTGGTGAAGAACAGTATGTTGACGGCTGCCACACCCACGACGATGCCAATCAGCATGAACTGCGCAAAGATGGTGGCCGACATGATGGGTCTTATAAGATCGCAGCACCTGCAAAGAGGAAACTCGCTTACTTAAAAATCAAGAGCTCCATGGGAGTTTATCTGTTTACTGCACGATAGTCCGATAATCCTTGATGCAGTCCACCAGTTGCTGATAGTTCTCCTTCTCGGAGAGCTCGGGGTTGCAGCGCAGGTTCTTTATGCGATCTCCGAGAATGGCCAGATGTCCGCGAAATATGGACAAAAAAACGATCGGATAGCTGTCGGACAGCAGCTCCTGACAGATACCAATGCCAATGACGCTATATTCCAAGAGCGAGGCCTCCCACAACTGGCGCGTGCCCTGCCGCCAGTCAACCAGCGGATTGTACACCTGCCAGGGAGCCTTTCCCGCGAACACCGACGAGAACAGCGTCGTGGTGGTGAACCCTAGGTACACGCTGAGAAAGAACACAATGATTCGATTCCCCCGGGCCACCATCTTATGGAGTATCTGGCGCTGGTTCAGTGTCGTACAGCGCTCATCTAGGGGGGCAATCATTGCGTTGATCCTTCGCATGCGCCACATCTGGGAGAAGGTGACACAGGCCTTGACGCAATTCCCAATGCAATTGATGTCCACCTGCACCGAGGTGAGGAACTCGCTCGCCGCGAACTTGTCAAAGTGCACCACATAGGTGAGGGTGAGACCCAGCGGCAGGTACACCAACCCCAGCACCATGGTTGTGCAGGTCCAGAGCAGATAAGCCCATCGATGCAGTCTCGCCTTGGGTGGGACCCAGCCCAAAAAGGTTGCAGCGCGATAAAAATATATGCAGGCGTCTGAAGAGACGACGCTCTTGGTGAGTGGCACCGGTCGTAGGCGTTCAAAGAGGGGTTTCTTCATCTTCTAAGGTATTTTCCAGCCGAAAAATTGTTTATATATGGGGAAAAAGCAATCCCTGATAGGTTTTTAATGTCTCGTAATTTTTGGTTTATTCATTGGACAACTGAACGACGTCACAATTGGGGCCGAGTGATTGCATTTATAAAGTCATTAGGCAATGCAACCTCAAGGTCCTGCACTGAGAGAAACCAAAGTAAAGATGCAAACACACAAGGCGAATGAATCCAAGTATTTTCTCTCTGTATAGCTTTCCCGGTTCATTCTTGAACTCCATTGAAAGGCTTATCGATTCGTGGGTTCTCTAATTACAGCTTGCATAATGGATAACGCTATTGAAAATGCTTCTATTCCCCCTCTTTCCATTGCAGCCTTTCATCTCTATTCGAACCGCACCGAGGAGCGCGTTGAGGTCGATACCCTGGCTGTGAAATATGAGGATGGAAGGTGGTCAAAGCCGTATTACGATTGTGGTGGTGGAAACATTTGGATGCTAACCTATACGGTCCCATTTTTCGGCTATGAGAATGGCAGCTATCACTTCAAGTAAGTAAGCCTCGAAACAATGGCGCCTGCTCATGGCTGGTGCGACTGGTCCTGGTCGCCATCCAGATGAGCATTCTATAAATAATTCACAGCCAAGTGGAATTTGAAAAGGAAACTGCATTGGCCCGAAAAATGCCACCCAAGCGATTTTCCCAGTCAGTGGCAGGACGACACAAAAGCCGTAGAAACTATGATGAAGCGCCAGCGTCAGCGTCAGGTTTCTGGCTTTTGTCTGGTGCGAGGACTGCAGGAGGACTGTAAACAGCAAAAGTAATTGAATAGCTGAATGACTGTTCTTGCTCTGGTTGGCTCTTAGTTTGGTGGCACGTGCAATGTGCTTTAAGTTTTAGGACTTTTCCCAACATCGACTCTGTAGATGGAGGACTGATACAGAATTTCGCTCACGCACCGCTCGAAACGGAATACGTTAAAAGAGGGTACAACATTCTTATAAAACTTTATCGCGTGCTGTTTTGCTTTATTTTTTCATCATATTCATTTGAAGTAATTTTCAATTTTTTCCCTTCTTTTCACCACCGACAAACATAGTTCCTGCTCGTCTCGCTGCTTTATTTTTGGCCAACTTTTTCAATTGAATGTTGAAATGGTGAAAAAGTTGGCAAAAGGAACTCGGAAAAGACGAACCAAAAGAAAACACAAGTGGAAATCGCTGAGCAAGTTATGTAGTTTGATGGGAAACTCATTGATGCTGTTCTGTGGCGCGTGGCACAGATCAATAAATTTCAAAACTGCTCTTTTCTTTGGGAATATTTAATTAATTCCCTCTTGGCAGGAGCACAGCCTTGGAGTCTGCCCAATTTCATGAAATTTGTTAAATCAGCTGTGCAGGCGTGAGTCTCTTTATTAGAAATACTTACAATTTCCAGCCTAAGCGGCTTAGTAAGCCCAACCCCTCCCCGCTGAATGGAAGCCCAGTTTTTCGCTTTGACGAATTTCTGACAGAGTCAGTTCCATCAGCATAATGACTGCTGCTAGAGCTCGCAGATGAAAAGCGTTTAGCATATTTATGACTAAACGGCCAGACCATGGATACCACTCAGGATGCCACTCAGGCATCTCCCAACGATTAGTCGTCACTCATCACTGCTGTCTGTGCCGCTTCCACTTCCACTCTACGTCATCCATAATTTGCAATTATCACTTGGGCTGCCAGCAGAACCAAGAAGACAGACAACAGACAACAGACAGCAGTACCCGCCACATCACGCCACAACGAAATGCAATAACAACAAAAAGAACACATTTTGGCCAGAAAACTATTTTCACTTAGTGGCCGAGTTAGTGTCGGGATTACGAAGCCCTTTTGTTGCCGCATTCATGCAAGGGTGGGTTTGCTATCTCAAAGTATGCAGCAGAAGATGGAGTAGTTATGGTCGAATGAACTTTGGGGGCGCTATTTATTTAAGATAAACAGATCCTCTCTCTCCAAGATATACCGCTCGTAGATGGCGGTTGTGACCTCTCCTTCCTGTGGCGGCCTGTAGCAGTAGCAGGGATACACCATCCGCACTTCTTTCGACTCTGGTGTGGCCCCCGGCACGGCAGTTGTGGTGAAACGGAATCTCTGATGCCCTGCAAGTGCTCCCTCCAAGTAAATAGCTTATAACTTATCTAGCAGGCCAGCTACTCACATTTCGACTGGTAGTATTGTTTCTGCCACCACGACAAGGGCTTGGGACGTGCCGCAGTTCGTTGGATATTCGCCAGCACAATTGCCGTCAGAGAGCAGAAGAGAATTAGCCGGATGAATAACATTTCCCCACTGCTGTCAGGGCTTGTCTAATGGATTGCAAACGATACGATACTTAGTACATGCACTTCATGTTAGCTTCAGCCAAAGTAAGCGTTTAAAATGTAATTACACACGGCACATCAATGCGGATGCGTATGCCTATGATGCCCTTGGTTGCGGGGCCAGAAAAGCTTTCAGCCCTCCAGCTATCAGGGAGGTGGGAGGACAGACAGCGTTTTCTAAATTGAATTAAAGCAATCAATTATACAAGTGAGTCCCGATCCCACCCACACGTACGCCTACTTAGCGCTCAATGGCTTTCTACGCTCAACAAATTTCACATGTAGCGACAGGGCCAGGGAGGGCGGACCAGGGAGGAGGAACTCGTTGAAAACGGCAACTGTCTGCCGCCGCCACGGCCACTGCCACTGCCACTGCCACTGCCGATGGCGGAAGCTCGGCAACTGCCTGCAATTAGTTGCAACATAAATTTGGTCTGCCTTAATGGACGGATGCGCACAGTGGTACGGAACAATGCGCCACAAATGTTGAAATCATTCGATGTCCCACAAATGGAATGTGCTGGAATGTTTGTAATTCTGAGCAATACGGACAGTGTATATCGTAGCTTACTTAACAAAGTCGAAGAATATTAAGTTGCAACTCAATTTGAATACGTTTCATTACTTTTACGGACCCTCGACCCCCGAACACTGTGTGCTGGAGAGGAAAATTAATGTGCAAATGTTAAAAGTTCGTTAGTTGGGTTCATTTCAGTTGGTCCCAGCATTGCAGCTGCTATTCAGTCTCCGGGCTCCTCCGGGGCTCGCTCCTCGTCAAAAAAATCCCCCTTTCTTTCAGCTGCTTCGGCAGCGGGAAGACCGGAACCGGGAAAGTTCTGCAAGAGGAGGGGAGGGACTGGGACAGGTCCCGTGCCGGCATTCTTGCATGCCTGTGTCCGGCTCATGTTAATAATGTTTCGCTATCAGTTTCCCATTAGTTGGGGAAATTAATTTGTTTACATGGTAGCGGAAGCGCAAAAAAAGAAAAAAATATAGACAAAGAGAGGGAGAGAGAGGAAGCGAAAACTTGCTAATTGATTTAATTTACTATGCGGTGTGTGGTAGCTGCCCCATTTTTCTCTTAACTCCATGAAACATGCAGGGCAGGGAGGACGCCAAACAATAAGCATCCAGAGCGTGCAGCTAAAGTTAAGTTTATTATAAATTATTTGGCCAAATGAAATGGCGCATTAGTCCGCCCAGCAGTGGCAAAGCACAAAGCACAAATCACATTAAGCGCCCGCTGTGAGCGAATGCCAAACACCAAGCGGCAAAAGCTAAACGCCAAGGGACAGAACATGCCTCCTACTGGGGCAATAATTTTATTTGATATTATTTAAGTTTCGCTTAGCAGCAACCAACCCCACTCTAGCGGCAGTAAAATTTCAATATTAAAACTGAGACGACTGTGGAGGTGGTCGAGGAGGAATGAAAAGGCTGGGGAATGTAAGCCGTAATCCCAGCATTGTATTTATTTGACTTATGTTGCAATATTGCCGTTGCCATACCATACAGAGAGAAAGCCGTGTATGCACGCTATGGGCTATGCCCTGCTCGCTGGCAAAGCATAATGAGGCAAACGGAAACGGAAATATCAAATATCTGGCAATAAGCAAGCCTTTGTGTTGCAGTGACTGGCTGCTGCTGCTTGTTATCTTGTTGCAACGTCAACGTCTGAATGTGGGCTTGATTATGAATGCTCGTATGTGTAAGTATGCAGATGTGCAACATGCCATATTTCTGAGCAATGGATCGGGATGCAAATTTACATAGTTTCCATGGTGCCTTGCACATTGCTACGGTCCCAATAACTGCTGATATAGACATTCCATGCCCTAACAGAAATCAAAATATTTAAGTAGTAGTTTAAGTTGCTTGATGGCAACGAGTAACATTTATGTTGGACTTAAAATTATAACAGCTCCAAGTTTTACAATAAGTATGTTTTTGTGAGTAATTGTGTTGCGTGTACGTCTGATCTCTCTCTCTCAGATCCGATTACTGCTCTATCCAGACGATACGACGAAAACACGACCGCTTCGTGTCTCGCTCTTTCCTTCGTTTCCTACATTTATTAAAGAATCCTCATGCGAAAAGTCTTTTTAAATAACTTTTTGATATAAATCTGTACAAACTTGTGGAATCTGTTAGATGCATCTAAGCTACTGATCTACTGATCAAAGGCTTATGCTGGGAGAGGAAATATTTGTGAAGAATTTCCTGGTTGACTTCGAATACCACATTAATGTCAACAAAGTTTTTGTTTCGCTTTAATGTGACCTAGCCCACACCCTTGTCCCCTCGCCTCTCATAGCAAATATTTTTGGCATAATTTCGGGCCTATTTCGCAGCCTTTTTCGGCTCTTTGGTTTGGGTTTTTGTGAGCCGCAGTAAACTGCGCCATCGAGGTGCAAACTACAAAACTGATTATGTGCATTAGCAGCGGCTGCCACAACCCATAATTGACGACGATGACAGCAGAAACAGCAGCGGCAGCTGCAGCACCAGAGAATCCACATAAATGAGTTGTTTACAAACTGGTTACAAAACTGCCTGCGTGACGGTGTATGCTTTTTCCACTCATACCACACCCATTTGGGTTGGTAACTTTATGAACTCGAAAATGGAGCACATCTCAGAGGGCTGGATCGGGATGAGAAGCGGAATGCCATCTGTATTAGCTGCCATCGCTGCCATTTTTAAATAGCTGGCACGTGCATGTGTGCTGGCACGCGCTGTAGTGGTGGTGCTACGAATAATGGTAGTGGAGCATCTGTATACGAGCTCCAAAGCTCTTCAGATGCACTTCGCTTATTCACGTAATGCGTTTGTGTTTGTGTTCGTGCGTGCGTGTCGTACGTGCCCTGCATTGCAATCCACTGATTTTACGCCTCACCTAGTAGGTAATCCCACCTTCGTGCATATGTCCTCTAGATTTCATTGGCTGGGTAAACATTTGTCTTTTAGACTTTAAAGCTATCTAAAATTCGATTCGAGCATTTTATTAAAATCGATAAAATTATGCTCTCTTTTCCTTAAAACGAATCAAATCCATCTCCATTTATGCATAGACAAATACAAAAATCAACAGGCAATCCCCTAACCCATCGACTATGTGCAATATGAGCTCCAACAAAAATATGCAAACAACTGAGTTTACGGCTCATTTGTAGGCATTAGGCATTGTGTTAGGTTCTGTGTGTGTGTGTGTGTGCGGATCATACATATACATCAAGTATACGCCAGATAGGCAAACATTGTCACATCAGCATCAGCCGCCTCCAAAAATACTCGAAGCTTAGGGCCCAAACTAATAAATCAATATGCGACACACACAGATATCGCCGAAGACCGGAGACCGAACTCATTCGGGCAGCTCAATCAGCTTATTTTCTAATATCCGTTTACAAATTATCTTCAAAAACTGTCAGCAACAACAAAGAGAAAGACAGACGACGCGACGCTACGGGGGAGCTGACAAAGGAATACCAGGAAAATACAACCACAGAAAATACGAAATAGCATTCAAATACGAAAACGAACACGAACTTTAACAAAATGGGAATAAGTGGGGCAGAGATACATGGGCACAAATAAGTAGAAGAAGAAAAAAGGCCAAGCCGGATCCGGATCCGGGTCCAGGACATAAAGGCGTTGGGATCAACTGCTGGGGAATTAACATAATCATTACTATAATGTAATGATGGGCCATTGTGCAGCCAGTCAGCCCAGGCAGCCCCTCCCCTCGCTCAGTTGTCCACTTTCCAGCAGTAGCAGTAGTCCTTTTTTTCGCCCTTTTTCCCCTTTTGCAATCAATAAGTTGTCAGAAACAATCAAATAAATACAAACTGATATGTCAATATTAACTGACAGTCACATGAAGCTTCCCAGACTCGGACCCGAGAACGCAGACCGAAGCCAATATTCTCGAAACCCGGAAACCTCACACACACATTACGGCCAACTGGGGCGGCCACCAAAAAAGTCGGAAAATTGAAGATGAAATAGAAATGTTTGGCATTTCTATCCCTTTGAGGTTACGAGTATGAAATACTGTAGAAAACGGTTGATGAAGATCGATAACAGAGGGACTTAGACTTTAGAATTCCTGATCTAATGCCTTTGATCCCGTACAAGATTTCTTCAGAGAAGTTAGGTTACCAAATAAATCACCAACTGATCATACCCCTTCACCTATGTCTGCTGTAACAAGAAAGTTTCCTTTGACGTCAGACTTCCGTGACAGCGGGACCCAGACGGAAAGGTTTGAGTCACAGCCACAGTGCCGGCGTGCAAGTGTGGACAATTCCGAGATTATGCGTAAAGTTCTACATGTGTTCTGGCTTCATTCCTTCCATTCGGCTACCGCCGCGGTGCTCCTTCCACAATTTTGCTTAGGTATGTGTGTAATTGGGTGGCTGTCCATTTCCAGGGGCGACCTTTGAGGGAGGCATATAGGATTTCTGGCAGCGTCGACCGCTTAGCGTACCCTTTTCATGGCTTTATGTCTTTGTAAAACGACAAGGCCTTTTCCCTGCACCCTCTCCCTCTCCCTCTGGCTTTGCCACTGCCACTGCCTTTGCCCCTGTCCCAATCTCCGTCAACGACAGCAAGAAAATAATTTTCTGCTACTTTTCCCTGAGCTCGTTTTCAATACAAAGAAACCCGTAACCAAAACATGCTTCCTAGTTTATCCCTCTGCTCATGCGTGTGTGTTTGGGTGTGTGCGAGTGCGGTTCTTGGGGTTCTTGGGGTTCCTGGGGTTCCTTCTCCATCTCAGACTATAGAACAGAGTCCATAGACATATGCGCAATCAAAGCACGAATTTATTGTTTGTTATCGAAAGGCCACGGCCAACGAAACCCCAGGCGGCTGCCCACTATCTGGAAGCTGGAAACAGAGATAGAGATAGAGCTAAAGCGGGTCTCAGTCTCAGTCCTTCTACAATCTGCGCACTTTCCACTGTCGATAAATATCAGCGACTGACGGTACACACGTTTTATTGAATTGAGTTTTATAAATGGCGCCATTTGGTTTAAGTGCCGCCCCCCCGTTGATTGTTAAGCTGACAAATTAATAACATAAATTTTTAACGCCTTTTGCTGACTCTCTCTTTCTCTCACTCTCCGTCTGTTTTTTTCACACTCTCTTCTTCCTTTTTTTTCGTTCTGCCCCATTTCGTAGGGGAACATCTGGCATCGATATTGACTTGCGGCGCGTGGACATCGACCAATGCCCGCAACGCCACACGCCCGGCACCAAGCGGCCCCTAAACATCTTTGCCGGCACCGACAAGTGCAAGCAGCGGACCACAATGGTGAGAAACAGACCAGACGCCTTCAGATACTCCAATGTCAGCACAAAGTGTTCATTCCTCCATCTTTCCATCTTTCCTTCTCCATGCGCCTTCAGTGTGAAGCTATCATGGGACTGGGCTTTCGGCGCGGCTCCTACAAATGCCTCTGCCGCAAGGGATTCTATTTCCCCGACGTGGTTTCGCTCCACAAGTTCTTCAATGGCAGCCTGCTGGAGGAGGAATACGAGAAGCTGATGCTGGTAAGTGCTGACTCAAGTACTGAGCGAGAATCCTACACTCATTAAATATG